ATAGTTTTATTTAATTCATAAAAGATATTCAAATACATAACAGATCGAATTTTTGGAATTCCTAAATCTCCAAATAGAAATATTTTCTATCAATGAAAAATAAAAAATAAAAAAATTCTGCTCACTTCTGTTTCGAGATATTTTATAAACAAAAAACTGAGAATTTTTAAAAAATTGTATAGTTATAAATTGCAATTATAAATTTATGTAATTTCTAATATATATTTAAATGTAAAAATACATTTTCAGAATTCTTTGGAGTTCTTTTAGAAGAAAATATTCCCTGAGCTTGCTCCTGAAATTTTAATAACCTACAATTTCGATTAGAATTTTATGACGAGGATTGAGGATTCAGAACTTTTTCGGGAGGGGAATTATCAGTGTTGTGTAATTCATAGTCATTTATTTGTAGACAGACTTTTTGGAGCTCTTAAAACTCCCTTAAAATCTAAGAACATAATTTCCAACAAATTTTCATTTATTTTCCTTGTTCAGTAAATTTTAACTCACTTCCTCGCACGTAAATATGAATTGTTAATTGATTTAACATCCGGGAACGTGTATAAATAATCGAAGGTAACATTCAAACAGCTACAGCGATTTATTATAATAAATTAACGTCACTCGGTTGCACGTTTTCTACACCGAAGATTTACCGCGTTGTTGTTGAAAGATGTGCTATTTAATCATCAAAGTTTATGATTTATGCGCGATGGCGGAGTATTATATTTTCCTGCCAAGTTCTTAAGAAAGGCTCGCGTAATAAATGATACTTATTTAATTTCTAATACGAAATACTTCAGCTGTTCAATTGTTGTTCACAACTCGCTTGAATTTCCTCGCTGTAATATCTGGCACAGGCTGAAGAAACAGAATTCAAACAAAGGCAACAAACAGAGATTCGATTTAATAGAAAACTAATTAAATTTAATATTTATTTCGATGGAACATAATTAGGAACATTCCAATGTTGAACTTGAAATTTTCGCTATAATTGAATATCTCATTTTTCTTCAATTTCACTCTTTAATTGCATAAATTCTCAAAGCATCTTCGAAAGCTTGGAAACAACTTTTACATCGAATTTCCCTTTCCTCTTTCTCGTTCTGCAGTAATGGATCATGCGGATTGAAAAAAAAAA